TTTTTTTTTCAAGGGCAGGACAGCTGTCAGCATCACACTGATTGGCAATGTTGGTCATTTGGATCATACACTTGCATTATAAAGAAGTCACTTTCAAGGATTCACTTATCACAGGGAGTCACGCTTTTCATTTGGACTGATTTTCATTATTTAACATTGGACTCTGCATTCGTTTTCATTTATCACCCCTGTTGATTCATTTCACTAGTCACTTATTTTGTTGCCACTATTGCACTGCCATTCCAGTGCTACACTATATTCATTATATTATTCATTTTTCACTTTAGCGCCGATCAGTTTCGCTTCACTCAGATTGCATTTTTTGTTGTCGCATATTCACTATTAAAGCGGAGTCCCACTCATCCTCTCAAAAAATAAGTCAGCAGCTACAAAAACTGTAGCTGCTGACTTTTAAAAAACAGTCCCACCACTTACCTGTCCCGCTGTGTGTCCCCCGCAGCCCGTTTCACCGGCCGTCCTGTATTCCAAGAGGCCGGCATCTTCAGTGTGGGCACCCAGCTGTGATAGCTTGCGACTTCATAGCCGGGTACCCACTGCATGTGTGAGTAGCGCTGCTCTTCATGAATGGTCCTGTAGTCTTCTGGGACCTGTCATGTGTCCCAAAAGACTACAGAGAGGAAGGGAGGACACCTTCCACTTCCGATTGCCTAGGCGATCGGACCGGAAGTGGGAGCGGGTACCTGTCAAATTCGGGTACCCGCCCCCCAAAGGTGCCAATCCTTAATGGGGAGCAGTCCTTAAAGCGGAACTTCCCTTTTTGGATGGAGCTCTGCTTTAAGTCACCATTTATTTGCATTTATCACATTTTATTCTTTTTGCACCTTCCGCTTAGTATTTTTCTTATTAGCGCTGCACCTTTATTATACAGGCCTAATTAAAAGCCTTGTAACATGGCAGCTCTCTCTGGTAATAACAGTATGTTTTTAACATATCAGTATAATTTCAGAACTCTCTGATAGTACTGGTAGGCTTGTGACATGTTGCACTATCTGGTAGGTGTAGTAGAGTGTTTTGCTAATATGAGTACTCTTGCGACATGTCGGCACACTCTGATAATATTGCAGCAGCACTTTCAGGTGATATTTGTATGCTTGTGACATGAAGACACTCTCTGATAGTATGGTAGTGCTTTCTGGTGACATCTTTACTCTTGTAACATATCCACAAGCAAAGATTTTGGTGCTCTTAGCAGTCCTTTAACCTATCAGACCTCTGTGACTATAGCAGCTTTCTTAGTTTAATATTAATGCCCTTGTGACGTCAGCAATGTTTGATAATATGGCAGTGCTTACTAGTAATACCTGAATTATTTATTAGAGGTACATATATAGCGCCGTCAATTTACACAGCGCTTTACATATATATATTGTGCATTCACATCAGTCCCTAACCCTCAAGGGGCGTACAATCGAAGGTCCCTAACTCACAGTCATACATACACATACTAGGGCCAATTTAGACAGGATCCAATTAACCTACCATCATGTCTTTGGAGTGTGGGAGGAAAGCGGAGAACCTGGAGGAAACCCGCACAGGGAGAATATGCAAACTCCAGGCAGGTGGTGCCTTGGTTGGGATTCGACCCAACAACCCTAGTACTGCCAGGCGGAAGTGCTAACCATTTATCCTTTGTGCTGCCTGTACATTTGTAACATATCAGAGTAGCTGATGGTCTTATGCAGTACCAGAAAAAAATCTGAGATATGTACTGTGTTAGTGTGTGTATATGTGTGTGTGTGTATATATATATATATGTATGTGTATATGTGTATATATATATATATATATATATATATATATACATATATATATATATATATATATATATATATAAATTTTACTTTCTTTTTTTTTTTAATTCGCTTGTTTCCCCTGGATTTTGCACAGGCTTAGACACTTAAGGTGGGAATACACGATTAGCAAATCAACCGATCGGTCATCCGACAATCGAGAGGCATTCGTTGGTCGAAATCGTGGCCCATATTAACCAATCTAAAAAAATTGTTCGTCGGGCAATACATAGTGTTGACGTCTTCCATACAAGTGGAAGTGACGCAGTGTGCGTGTGACCTTGTAGCCACGCCCTTCCGGCCAGAATGAGCGATATACACAACAATTAATAGCAATGAGTATAAATATAGTTTATTACATTACTTTTATACATACAGGTGAAAGTCAAAAAATTAGAATATCGTGCAAAAGTTCATTTATTTCAGTAATGCAACTTAAAAGGTGAAACTAACATATGAGACTCATTACATGCAAAGCAAGATAGTTCAAGCCGTGATTTGTCATAATTGTGGTGATTATGGCTTACAGCTCATGAAAACCCCAAATCCACAATCTCAGAAAATTTGAATATTGTGAAAAGGTGCAATATTCTCGGATCAAAGTGTCCCACTCTAATCAGCTAATTAAGCCATAACACCTGCAAAGGGTTCCTGAGCCTTTAAATGGTCTCTCAGTCTGGTTCAGAAGGAATCACAATCATGGGAAAGACTGTTGACCTGACAGTTGTGCAGAAAACCATCATTGACACTCTCCATAAGGAGGGAAAGCCTCAAAAGGTAATTGCAAAAGAAGTTGGATGTTCCCAAAGTGCTGTATCAAAGCACATTAATATAAAGTTATGTGGAAGGGAAAAGTGTGGAAGAAAAACGTGCACAAGCAGCAGGGATGACCGCAGCGTGGAGAGGATTGTCAGGAAAAGGCCATTCAAAAGTTTTGGGGACTTTCACAAGGAGTGGACTGAGGCTGGAGTCAGTGCATCAAGAGCCACCACACACAGACGTATCCTGGACATGGGCTTCAAATGTCGTATTCCTCTTGTCAAGCCACTCCTGAACAACAAACAACATCAGAAGCGTCTTACCTGAGCTAAAGAAAAACAGACCTGGTCTTTTGCATCTCATTTGGAAACCAAGGACCCAGAGTATGGAGGAAGAATGGAGAGGCACACGCTGCAAGATGCTTGAAGTCCAGTGTGAAGTTTCCACAGTCTGTGTTGATTTGGGGAGCCATGTCATCTGCTGGCGTTGGTCCACTGTGCTTCATTAAGTCCAGGGTCAATGCAGCCATCTACCAGGAGATTTTGGAGCACTTCATGCATCCTTCCTCAGACAAGCTTTATGGGGATGCTGACTTCATTTTCCAGCAGGACTTGGCACCTGCCCACACTGCCAAAAGCACCAAAACCTGGTTCAATGACCGTGGGATTACTGTGCTTGATTGGCCAGCAAACTCGCCTGACCTGAACCCCATAGAGAATCTATGGGGCATTGCCAAGAGAAAGATGAGAGACATGAGACCGAACAATGCAGAAGAGCTGAAGGCCGCTATTGAAGCATCCTGGTCTTCCATAACACCTCAGCAGTGCCACAGACTGATAGCTTCCATGCCACACCGCATTGAGGCAGTAATTGCTGCAAAAGGGGCCCAAACCAAGTACTGAGTACATATGCATGCTTATACTTTTCAGAGGTCCGATATTGTTCTATGTACAATCCTTGTTTTATTGATTGCATGTAATCTAATTTTCTGAGATTGTGGATTTGGGGTTTTCATGAGCTGTAAGCCGTAATCATCACAATTATGACAAATCACAGCTTGAACTATCTTGCTTTGCATGTAATGAGTCTATCTCATATATTAGTTTCACCTTTTAAGTTGCATTACTGAAATAAATGAACTTTTGCACAATATTCTAATTTTTCGAGTTTCACCTGTAAATAGTGATACATAAAATATAATCTGTATAATTCTGGTTTCATTATCTCATTAGGCCAGTCTACTTTTAACATTTGGATTTTTTGTTTGTGTTGTGTTGTGACATAAACATCCGAGTCATCTTCTGTTTTTTTCATAGCACTTGATAGATTTTTTTTTTTGTACAACCATCATACCACCGCATAGAAAATTGGTCGTTCGTAGGCAAAACGACAAAATGTTTCACTGTTGTTCAACTGGATTTTTTCGTTCTCAGTATCGTTATTGGTTAAAACATCCTGCTCATCAATGAAGAGAAAATAGTTCGATCAGTGGCTCCGCAAATTTTTTGGACGATTTTCTTATCGTGTGTACAGGGCATTAATCCAGGTTTGTAGGGATTTATATGTGGAGCTAGTATCTTGTCCACACCAGGACATTGGAGGAGCATATTGCAGTAACAGGTGTCACTCATTAGAACCAATTGCAACCCACTTATCAGCGCTCAATACACCTATCGAACACATGTTTTATTGATGTAAACATAAATTCAGTATAATATGACTGCTTTATAGGTTCTATGACCTCTGAGGTCTGACTATGGGCTTTTCAATCACAGTATAAGTGTTCTCATTATTGAGTACATGTGAATTAAAGGATAACTCCAGTGTTAACCCTCTGTTCCCTTTTCCTACTTCTGTACTTTCCAAATTAATGTTACTAAAGGATTCTGGCCTTTTTAAAATTAATTTCAGTATCTTTTCTCAATGTACATCATATTTTGTCATATGGCATACTGTGTTCATTTATGCTGTTTGTAATATTTTAGTCTGCATTGTATTTTTTTGTCCAATGTTAGTGATCCATATAGCTTTGTGTAATTTAATTTCATGTCAGAAAGTCAGAGCTGTCCTGTGCACAGTTGTACTTCCTGGTTTGCAGTGGAACACAGTGGCTGTACTTTACAGCTCCTTCCCACATTGCAGGGGTTGAAATAAAAAAAACTGACCTGATTCCCCCATTTAAACATTCGATGTAGATGGGGGAATTCTCCCCGCTGTGTTTTTTTTGTGTTCTGACAGCAGGGAGACTTCATCGCCATCAAAATACACTGATCAGCACTGCAGCCTATTGCCTATGGCACTGATCAAATAGCTTTTTTCCAACAGGGTGATTGAACTGAAGTCTATTTCAGTAGACTTCAATAAAGTTTGTGTAACAAAAAAAAAAAAGAAAAGTGGACTGTGTGATGCGGCAGGATCAGTGCACTAGCCAGGGGCGGACTGACCATTTGGAAACTCGGGCACTGCCCGGGGGCCCGGGGTCAGTAGGGGGCCCCATGAGATGCCCCTGGTACCTTTTTCATAGGCTTTTTTGAGTTTGGGCAAAGACACAGGGGCCCCATGATCCCCTATTGCCTGGGGGCCCCATGAGTTGTCAGTCCGCCCCTGCCTTCCCCCGATCTGGGCTTTATGGCAAAACACATGAAAGTGGAGTTTGCAAAAGATCACCTAAAGGACTCTCAAACTGTGAGGAATAAGATTCTCTGGTCTGATGAAACCAAGATTGAACTGGTTGGCCTCAATTCTAAATGTTATGTAGGGACAATCAAAGGGTGAACTGTGTGCCTAACCATGTCTAATGTTTGCTGCTTTTACGAATAGATGTGGTTGTGTTTTTTTCCCTATAAAGCACAGACACATCCAGGGGCGGACGAACCATTTGGAAACTCGGGCACTGCCCGAGGTCAGTAGGGGGCACCATGAGATGCCCCTGGTACCTTTTTCATAGGCTTTTTTGAGTTTGGGCAAGGACACAGGGGCCCGATGAACCCCTATTGCCCGGTCGCCCCCATGAGTTGTCAGTCCGCCCCTGGCACTAGCACTACAGTTCTCTAACCAGATTGCATTGTGCACCAACTGCTGCGTTGTCATGCAGCGGCTTGTGTGATTGGACCTTAAAATAAGGTATGCAATAAAAGCAAAAAAGGTTTTCATTAAAAAAAAAATGTCATTAGCATCTTGAAGGGGAAAAGGGAGGAACCAGGAAAGGTAAAATATAAGCAGATTAAACTTCATCTTTAAATTGAAGGGACTGGAGGGTGTAATTGTCATCAAGATAAAGATCTGAGCTGGACTTGCTTTTTTTTATTTAGTGCTAATAACTAATACAACAGTCTCTGTCGGGTTTTATTGGCTTGTTAGAGCTTTTAAAACTCAGCCCCTCGTCTTGTCCATGCCATCGTAGTGATTCAGTTTCTCTCTAACTATTAGGATTTTATAGACCCTCAGTCCAAAAAACATGATGTCATCTGTTTTACTAGACGTCAGGAATTTGCTGTATTAATGGAAGACCATTAATTAACATTCTTTTTTCCTAGTGGTTTCCATCTTTCAATGCTCATTACGCCTTTTCCCCTCTCGGTCCTTTGCAGAGATAGTGACTGCGGTTTTCATAAAATCCGTCATTATTGTATAATTAACTGAGGTTTTCTGATTCATTGGCAAGCGCTGAGGTAAATGCAGTACAATTTTTTTTTAAGAAACATGTTAGGGCAACGATCAGCAGCTGGTTCAAGCAGTCTTACTAAACCTGCTGTTGACTGCTGCTCTGCCAATCCATTTACAGTCAATAGGCCCTTGGTATATGATGGGTCCGTTTTTATGAGAGAAAAAAATAAAATCACTGTAAGAATTTCTTAATAAATTCAATAAGCTGCCAAAAATAATCCTTTATTTTACCTAATACCCAATTTCCTTTGATTACCAACTCCATCTAGTGGTCCGAATGCAGTATTTGCCTAGTGCAAGTATTTCTGGAAAATACTGCATTAAGGCCACTAGATGGAGCTAATGATCATAGCAAACAAATATGTTAGCCAAAATAAGGGATTATTTGTGACAGCTGAGCAGATGCTTGAGATGTTCGAACATTTTTTTAGTCTCCTCCAGCCCTATTGAAGGGTTGGCGTGTAGCACTCAAACGCAATGGATTTTAGATACAATTTATGTTTTGGACTAAACCTGTTTTTTTTTAATTGAATATTACCATGTGGTGTTTCAATTCCAGATTTGGTGTGCACAAGCTGCCACATCCTACAAAGTCACACCACTATGATACCATTGAATGATTATTCAATCGTACTTCAGGGCCCCTCTAACCCACTCTTTGAAGCATCTTGGATATGATGGCAGTATACATAATAATAATAATAATGAAAAGACGTTCATGCCTACACCACCCAAAGCATTTGTGTGATCAGTGAGCTGTTGATATAACAACAATTATTTTTAGAAATAGCATTAAACAGAATTAATATTAAAGCATACCTATTTAATGTGAAACTTTTTTCAACTCTGGGTCCAGTTTGAGATAAATAGGGATCAGGAGAGGACACACAGGAGGGCACGCAACATGGGGTCAGGAGGGCACGCAACATGGGGTCAGGAGGGCACGCAACATGGGGGTCAGAAGGGCGCACGGCATGGGGGTCAGGAAGGCGCATGGCATGGGGGTCAGGAGGGCACACAACATGGGGGTCAGGATGACACACACACACACACATGGGGGTCAGGATGACACACGGCATGGGGGTCAGGAGGGACACACGGCATGGGGGTCAGGAGGGCACACGGCATGGGGGTCAGGAGGGCACACGGCATGGGGGTCAGGAGGGCACACGGCATGGGGGTCAGGAGGGCACACGGCATGGGGGTCAGCAGGGCACACAACATGGGGGCAGGATGACACAACATGGGGGTCAGGATGGCACACGGCATGGGGGTCAGGAGCGCACATGGTGGCATGGGGGTCAGGAGGGCACGGCATGGGGGTCAGCAGGGCACACTACACGGGGGTCAGCAGGGCACACTACATCAGAGGTCAGGGCACATTACATCGGATCAGTACATATTATAGGTCACAAAACAGGACACATAAGAGTAGCAACAGTTTATTTAATATGCAGAGCAACGCAGGGAAGCAGCAGTGATCAGTCTTCTGTATCACCAGGAATGCTGATTGTGGCATGCTGTTCCCTACTGGCCCCTCCTTTCCATCCCAGGTGCTATCACATGCCAGCACCCAGGATGGAAAAGAGGGAAGTAGAGGCCAGTGGTGCACAGCGCACCACAATCAGCATTGTCACAAATAATTCCCTGAGTAGCTCTGCTACCTGCTACCGATGGGGAGATCATGGTTGAACCCTTGGGGACTTCCGTGGATCTTCAGTTAAGAAACCCTACTCAAAAGCATTCCTCTTCACTCCTCTCTTGGCAGATATGTAGAAGTCTATATAAGGAGGTGAAAGGAATGGCGGAGGAGCTGGGCCAGCAGAGAGTCTATTTAGACTTTCACAGCAGAGTAGAGGGCTATGACTTACAAGCAAAGGATGGGGAGTGCTGCTAGGGAGTTGACTCTTCCTGGAGAAGTCAAATTCCTTAGCATGTTCAGAGGCACTTTGCAAATTATTAAATGGTTGATCTGTAAATTTACAAGCAATGTTCACTTTGTTCACAGGGTCTCTTTAAGAGGGGCATAGGGTCTGTGTACCTGGCAGTCTGCCAGTGTGTATACAGTGTGTATGTATGTATGTATGTATGTATATATATATATATATATATATATATATATACATATAATTTTTTATTTATTTTTTAATATATATTACAATGATCTGTGTCTTCCTGATTTCCTTGTACATCTTCCTGGGAAGCAAGAGTAGAAGTGGCACCCACTGCGAAGGGAGCGGTGGAAACGCTAGGTAGTTAACAAGGAACAGCTGAAAATGTTTCAGATTCTGACTCAATCTTTTTCTTGTAAAACTTTGTGACAGATGGCACTAACAGATGGAGCCCACATTCCTAAGGAGCTTACTATGGCCATGCCTCCAGCGGCCGATAATACACCATGCCAGACCACTCTTAAGGCTTTGACTCAAATTAGCTGGCCTGGTTGCAGCTTTTAGTTTTTAATCTCAGGCCCGCGGCCACGGAACCATGCTTTGTGATAATCTGCTTTGCTTACTGTCATGCCAGGGCTGTGCCTTTAAATATGCGCATTCCAGTACAAGAGTTCAATGGAACGTGGGTGAATGGTGCAACTGGTTGGCAGTGTTAGGCTTCATGTCTGGCCATACACCGTCACGCGCTTTACAGTTCTTTTCAGGCTGGCCATACACATCATGGTCCAATAGGTCAATAAAACATTTTTATATTCTCATCAATGGGTTTCACCAATTTAAATACTTTTGAGCATTTATGCAAAATTAAAGGTGAAAGAGATTGGATAGTTTGGAAAATTCTGGTTGTTTTCAAGTTAAGTATGGAGCAATCAATTGAGTCTAAAATTATTTGATTTTCGTTGACTTTTTTCAGTATATTTCTCATTTTGAAATTAAACTCATTGATACTGGCTAATTTCCTGTATTTGTGGCATTGAGCGATCATATGAGATAGCCAATCAGTATGGCCAACATATACAATCCAATCAAACAGGCCTTTACACTGCATACTTCATAGAACTAGAGAGAAGAACACACAATCGAAATTGAAATGTGTATTCTTTAGAACCATATCAGACTGGCAATCATCAGGGTAAGGAAACTATTTCAGCCAATAGGTGTCATTTCTTAAACCGGTACTAGTCCCAAAACCAAAATTGTAACATATTGCAGCTTACCAACCATTAGACATGGCGGCTGTATTAGTTTTATTTTTTCCCCTCTGTTTTCACCTGGTGATCTGGCCAGTAAAACACCTCTCCTGTATTAGCGTGACCCCTCTCTGGATGAAGGAGCACAGGGGGCACCTTTGGACAGCAACATTGTCTATCTAGGGGGGGGGGGGGGGGGGGGGGGGGGGGAAAGGGAGTGATAAATGGACTGGCAGATTTAAATACATTGACAAATTCAAGCCAAACTCCAGCTAGCACTTTTTAAGCAATTAAAGCAATGGGTTTTAATTTTTTAAATAAAGTCTTTACATAAATAAGATTGATCATTGTAAGCACCCCTGTTGGTGGTAAAGGGTTTGTCTCATCCTTGTAACGAATACATCTGCGAGAGAGCTTGTTCTTTTGAAAAACAACAGACTTACTGGCCAGATGACCAGGTGAAAATATAAGAACGGAAGTGTAAAAAAACAAATAATTGCCTTTGAATCTAATACTGCTTTACGGAAACCACACATGTATTATTTTCAGTGGCGCAATATGTACTGTAAAGACCACTATACATAAATAAGTACAATGAATAAAATATACATTAAAAAAAAACAATCCTCGTGCAAAGTTAATAGTTTTGTTAGAATGGTTGACACGTTTCATAGATCTAGTCGTAAAACTTGCTGGACAAAAAGATGCAAACACAGCTCGGATATTCTGACATCTGGAAGGCCGACTGTACAGATACATAGCCCCCCAGCAAGAGATTCATCCATCCGCTGTGTATAAGATCAATAATACAAGACCCAAGGTCTACTGCTGCTGATGCTGTCCAGGGCTGAAAACTGGTGCTCGTGGCTAGGATGTGCAGTCCCTCAATACGCGTTTCAGCCGCTGTGGCCTTACCCATAGCATGATTCTGTGAGTAAGGTCACAGCGGCCGAAACGCATTAGATTATTTTAACAGATGTACTTGTGTAACCAATAAAGATTTTCAGCATTTGAGTCCATGAAGTTGCCAGCTCATATCTATCAACATCCTCTTTATGTAGTCTGGGTGGACGAATCTATGTGTTTTGTCCAGGTTTGGGGTTTTTATTTCAGGTGTAGTGTCAAGGTGCTTTAGTGTTTGCAGAACAATAAATAGGTGAGCTGTAGGATCTCCACTTGTTCTAGGCACTGAAACGCACCCTATTTTACAGGGAAATAGCACAAGGGAGCCAATCAGCTATGCTGCAGTGGCCATATGCTAACAAGGAGCATTTTGATAGGAGTAAAGAGCAGCAGCGT